CGTTTCCACGGGAAACGTTCGTTTTCGATGACACGCGCAATTCGTCAGGCGGATCCGTGAAAGGTCTCGATATTGAAATTGCGGTGACTTCTCGAAGCGGGGCGTGGTACCGCGTGTCTCTGGTGACTTACTGTTGTGCCCCGTTGGAAATTTACGAGGCGACGGCCATCGGATCGACGGAACACGATGATCAATCAAACGTAATCGCGCGATTCGTTATGAAAAATGTAACGGCCGCACCGTCGATCTGGTTCCAATCGGGACACCGTCCTATGAAGATTGCCACGATTACCACGTCTGCCGATGGCCCGTGTGCACCACAACACGTCGCTCCTTTGCGAATCGTTGATGCAATTAGACACGTGCCTCGCTGATACGTCGAGACGTATCGACGTGCAGGCCGCGCGTGTGGATTGATATCGATCGGTGTTACCTGTGCACTTGAAAACGGTGTGTTGTGTACCGACGTTGTCTGTTATTCCAAATCGGGCTGTATTCGATTCTCGTTTTGTGCATACGCGAAATTCCGATGACCAATGACTTGATTCTTTTCTTACTACTTATCCTAGAATTTCGACCTCGTGACCTCATCTTTTCCTGACTAACTCCGTCTCACCCTCGAACTCTTACAAATCCTAATCCCCACCCTTCAAGATACGAGCACGTATATTGTACGTTCTTCTTGAAAAATCAGAGATTAGACCTTTATTCGTTAAACTACCGAATAGTCCGCTAACGATACTTGTTGTACTTTGTCAACGTGTCACTTAACACGTTTACTACGCAACTTGTCCACGGTGCCGAAATGAATTTTCTATTTAAATACATATCCCAATATGCATAAATAATACGTCAACAGTTAGAAATAGGAAATGAAATGCAGTAGATGAAAATTTGACAAATTAAACGCTTCCGCCAGTCACTGATGATCCCTAATAAACGATTAGTACACGGAATACGGCAAGGCAATCTTAGGGGAATACGAAATACTATTTCGTTGCGTGGCTTATTCGTATTGTTCGATTATAAGAGAATAAGAATGCCTAGACGATATCTCTGTCGTCTTTCACGAACATATATCTCATCCGTGTCTCGTTAAAACAGATAGGGGAAACTTGGACGAAAGCGGAAGCAAATTAGACGGCATGCAAATAACCGCGAGCCGTTTTATTATATCGCCGGACAAGTTCGTCCACCGCGAAGATTGTTTTCAACATACTCCCCTTTATCTGTGTGCCGTACGTCGAGCATTGTTCGAGCAGGACTCGGGGAAAACTGCTGCCACAGCACGGGGAAACTTGTCGGTCCTTGTCGCAGACGTCGTTCGTCGGGAGGGAGAGACCAGACGCGAGGCGACGTTCCGCTTCCGGTTGTACAAAGTATATACCGCGGTGAACGTTGACACGCGTCGTGAATTCTCGTCGCAGCTACACACGTGAAGTGACGTCGAATTATGCCGCGATATCTCGCGCAAAGACGAAGGAGGGAACGATCGTGGAAGCCGATACAGCGACGCTCCGGTGATAAAAAGGCAATCGAGCTGTCTAGCTCGCGAGAAGCGACACAGCTGGTCCCCTCTCTTCTACCTCGTGGAATAGAAACGGTTTCGTTTCACGGATCGATGTCCTTTTGACGCGGCTTAGCCTGGATTTATCTAAACGGCGCAGACTTCTTTTGCCGCGAAAATTCCACTTGTCGTACGAACCGTCCAAACGAAATTCGTCGTCTCCTGCGACGAATGTGAGACCAATTCCAGGTGGAAAGAAGTCGGAGGATGGAAATAACGCGTTAGACTCTTGGCGGTATCGCGGTGCTACCGGTTCGAAGAACATAACGACGAAAGTTTTCGATCGTGCCTCAGAGAGAACGTAGAAGAAGGCTCTCGAACGATTCTCTGTATAATTTTGCAATTACGGTGGCGCGTTAAAGTGTCTTTACGCGGATCTCCAGGGCTCTCAGCCCTGTCGGCTTTCGATCTCGTGTTTATGTTTAAAGGGAATTTACGCGACGCGATCTGCTTCTTTGAGGAGGGAAAACTTTATTCATTTCACTTCAATCCGAATAATCCTGCTTAATTAAACTTCACTTCTCGCCCCGGTGTGCTCGCCTGCCGGCGGATTAGTCGTCCAGACCATATCGTGCCCCGCCAGTCGACTTGATCCAAGTCAAAATTTCCCCTCCGGTCTACCGAGTACGCTGTTAAGTATGCGTAAATCGAGCTTGGAGTGGCGAACAGGCGCTAAATTTAACGTAGCGATCGCTACTACCCCGACGCGACGAAGTCTCCAAGCTAAGATCCCCCACGTCTCTCCGCGTCATTCGCTTTAAAAACAGGACAGATCCGTGGCCGCGGGGGGTTATTGAAGGCTCGCGGCAGTTTACACTTTGCTTCACCGAGGACAATGCAAACTGTTCCAGTCGCAGTCTGGCTGAGAGCGCAATTGAACCTCCTGACACGGCAGGAACAATGTAATTGATCGCGCGAAACGTCTAAATTATGCGCGCTGCTTGACGAGCATCTGGCCTGGCGCTATTATTCAGCGGAGAAATTGATCGACGGAGATTTTTGTCAACGTTGACGTCGGAGTGTCGATAGATCGATGGACGGGAAGGGACAGAAATCAGACGCGACAGAGCGTCCAATCAACGTGGCGAACAATTAACCAAATTTGACAAACTTCCCGATAGAAATTCTCTGATTACCGAGCCGTTTGTCCAACGACGGATCAGTCTGTTAAAATTCCGCGCCTCTCGTCGAACACTCGTCGCACCTAGTTACCGTCTGTCACCGTCGAAATACACTCGCAGTGTCTTTGCAAACATTCGTTTAACGCGGAGAATCCTACACCTTGTCCACTACATTTTTGCTCTGTAGGAAGTCGCGAATGAAAAATGTATTCGTCGTTGAACGTCATTTCCTCCTAACGATCTTAACACGTAATACATTCTTAACCCTCGTCAGTCCCTCGTGTCAATTTGACACATTTTTCCGGCAAAAAATTGTAGTATTCGGCTATTTGTAGAAACAATTTTTTCTTTATTTTCTATACTTAATAAAAGAATTTACAAAATTAGTTATTTATCTTTTCTGTTGAAAATTTCGATTAATTGTGGAAAGACCACACGTAATGTTTATTACAATAAATAACTCCAGTGGAATGTACTAGCGAATGGTAAACTATTGCGGCGGTCTTAAGCGTGGGATTAGACGACGGCACTAGACTGACTAGCTGGTTCCTTCGAGTTCTCAGGCCAGCAAGGGGTGCAAGGGGTCGTATCGGTCCACGGATACGGGACTTGGATCACGACGAATAGAATGTGGTATATTGAGAGCTAACGAGAATCCGGAGTAAAAGTTTATTTAATTCGCTGGTAAACTACAAGTCTCGGCTTGTGATTCTAGAACAGACTCGGCTGATCGTTTTTGGTATGTATCGTTTGGTGTTCTGAGGAAGACCGACTCACAAATTGGAGGAGTACAGGGAAATGAGAGTTGGTGTAGGCGGAGTTAAAATCTGGGGGTAGAATATTGAAACGATGGAAATTCGGTGATTGGTCTTAGGATATTTGTAAGAGCATGGGTTAAGGGTAAAAGTGGGGATGGAAGTTCGAGGCGGCTAGCGTTTTGGAAAATCCCAGTGGGAGAGGAAATCGGACATCAAAGAAGGAGAAGACTATTTCGAAAATTGGTACAATGGATAGTAAACATGTGCTAAGTTTTCGTTCGGTAAACGTTTTACGGGGGTACGCTTGTCTGACGGTCCCGATAATCTCGGTCAGGGCCGGTTTATGGTTTTTTTGGGAACCGTTGTTCCGTACGAGACACCAGGTCAAGAGACTTTCCGCGCTTACCATTTTACCATTGCGTCAAAAATTCACACCGAGGGACCTATTCAGATGCGAAACTGAGGGCCGGATGAGGGTTGATATCTGTATTTTTATCAGTTTTGCATAATGCACTGCACCTAATATTCATTAAATACTCGAACTGTGCATTTTGTACGATGTATTACAGTAGATAGTGCCATTCTACCACCGGAAAATCGCATTTCTCCGCGACACAAACGATACAAAATTCCTTTAAAGAAAACGCCAGATTTTTTTCCCCAGAAAAAAGATACGTAATTATCCTTCTTACACTTCTTTCCCACCCAATTAACGGAGGGACCCTGACAAAAACTTGAGAGAATCCAAACTCCGCGGTCCGTCGAAAGAAATCTCCCAGCGACCTCGATCTCGGCC